TCATTTTATTACCTTATATAATTCTCTGCTTATTGAGTTTTCTTAAGATGTATTTTTTAATATTTTATGTTTTTTTGTTATAAAAAAACTTTGTTCTGCTTTTCATGTCAGCACATCCTGCTTACAGTTTTATATCCTTAAATAATTTCTTTGTATAACATTTTATCTTTTTTCATCAATCTTTTGTTCAAACACAATTTTAATGGCTTTTCCCTAAGTTACCTTTAAAAAACACTCTTTTCCAGCCAGCCCGATGCAAACCCAACACCCTCTACTTAGTCATCAAAAATGATATTTTCTTTGCCTTCATTTTTTTCTTTTTGTTATAACACTTCGTTTTTATATCCTGTAAAATATGAAAAAGAATAAACTACAAAAAACGCAGGAAAAAATGCCTTTACATTGTTTTCTTTTTAAGACCAAAAGAAACGTGTAAAAAAACATACACATTTTTGTAGCATGCATATTTTCTTTCTATAAAGTTGCTACAATAAACACACATGCTTCACTTTTTTTCTTTAGCATTTAGTGACATTAGGCACGTTTTACAACATCATAAAATTATTACGATTATTTGCCTCCAACTCCCTCCATCTAAAGAGAAAAAACATTTTATTTCACTTGTCGAAGGATATATACATGAAGGATACACGAGAATAACGTGTTATCTTGATTAATTTGCATATGAAATAATGCAAACAAACCAAAACAGAACTCCATAGCTCATATTTATAAAAAATTAAAGAAAAAAACAACAAAAAATTCTCATTTTGTTGAGGCATAAGCCAGAGTTAATGATAATCAAATGACATGTCCTTAGAAACTAAAATACAAAAAAAAGAAACACTTTATTAAACACAATATATACAAATAATAAAAAAAAACAGAAAAACTCATTTGTATGTTCATTTTAATTTTTCCCTCCCGTTGTACCAACAACTTAGTCAAGGTAAAATTGTAATAGCTAAAAAGTCCTTGTTGTTATAATTATTGTATTAAAATGAAACATTTTTGCTTCTTCACATCCTGCAGAAAAGGAGCTGTTAGATATTTTACCATGTAGTGTCATTAAAGGTTTTGTGTGGTAATAATTTCATTTTTGCCTCCTTTTGGCGAGAGTAAACATTTCAAGTTGTTATTAAATGTTGATAAATATTTATCCAGGCATGTTGTTTACATGTACTTGAAGCAAAAACCTAATTTAGGCCTATTCCGGTAAATATTGATAAACTAAAATCTTCAATCTAACAACGTCAACTTAAGTAGCAGTTTCACTGTTGTTCTACCTTCTAGTTCAGTGTTTGTTTAGTTTTATTTCAGTTCTAGTTGAATTGTAACTCAGTTGTAGTTCAGTTCTAGTTCAGTTTTAGTTCAATTCTAGTTCAGTTCTGGTTCAATCCTAGTTCTGTTTTAGTTCTGTTCTAGTTCTGTTCTAGTTCTGTTCTAGTTCTGTTCTAGTTCTGTTCTAGTTCTGTTCTAGTTCTGTTCTGTTCTAGTTCTGTTCTAGTTCTAGTTCTGTTCTAGTTCTGTTCTAGTTCTGTTCTAGTTCTGTTCTAGTTCTGTTCTAGTTCTGTTCTAGTTCTGTTCTAGTTCTATTCTAGTTCTTTTCTAGTTCTGTTCTAGTTCTGTTCTAGTTCTGTTCTAGTCTGTTCTAGTTCTGTTCTAGTTCTGTTCTAGTCTGTTCTAGTTCTGTTCTAGTTCTGTTCTAGTTCTGTTCTAGTTCTGTTCTAGTTCTGTTCTAGTTCTGTTCTAGTTCTGTTCTAGTTCTGTTCTAGTTCTGTTCTAGTTCTGTTCTAGTTCTGTTCTAGTTCTGTTCTAGTTCTGTTCTAGTTCTGTTCTAGTTCTGTTCTAGTTCTGTTCTAGTTCTGTTCTAGTTCTGTTCTAGTTCTGTTCTAGTTCTGTTCTAGTTCTGTTCTAGTTCTGTTCTAGTTCTGTTCTAGTTCTGTTCTAGTTCTGTTCTAGTTCTGTTCTAGTTCTGTTCTAGTTCTGTTCTAGTTCTGTTCTAGTTCTGTTCTAGTTCTGTTCTAGTTCTGTTCTAGTTCTGTTCTAGTTCTGTTCTAGTTCTGTTCTAGTTCTGTTCTAGTTCTGTTCTAGTTCTGTTCTAGTTCTGTTCTAGTTCTGTTCTAGTTCTGTTCTAGTTCTGTTCTAGTTCTGTTCTAGTTCTGTTCTAGTTCTGTTCTAGTTCTGTTCTAGTTCTGTTCTAGTTCTGTTCTAGTTCTGTTCTAGTTCTGTTCTAGTTCTGTTCTAGTTCTGTTCTAGTTCTGTTCTAGTTCTAGTTCTGTTCTAGTTCTGTTCTAGTTCTGTTCTAGTTCTGTTCTAGTTCTGTTCTAGTTCTGTTCTAGTTCTGTTCTAGTTCTGTTCTAGTTCTGTTCTAGTGTCTAGTTCTGTTCTAGTTCTGTTCTAGTTCTGTTCTAGTTCTGTTCTAGTTCTGTTCTGTTCTAGTTCTGTTCTAGTTCTGTTCTAGTTCTGTTCTAGTTCTGTTCTAGTTCTGTTCTAGTTCTGTTCTAGTTCTGTTCTAGTTCTGCTCTAGTTCTGTTCTAGTCTGTTCTAGTTATAGTTCTGTTCTAGTTTTGTGCTAGTTCTGTTCTAGTTCTGCTCTAGTGCTATTTTAATTCTGTTCTAGTTCTCTTCTAGTAGTTCTACATTTATATAAAAATCTGTAGGGTTATGCCAATCGCTAATTTGTTTTATGTTATACCTTAATTAGACTTTCCTTGCATGGGGCAAATTTAAATTTTTATGCATAGTATATTTCACTCTTTTTATTTATTTATAAAAATTTTCTACTATTTTATTTATATGCTTTTGTGCCCAGGACAATTGCATGCAAAGTGTTATAATATGGCGCCATTTAGTTTTATTACAATAAGGTTGTTTTATTATAAAAAAAAAACAAATATTATAATACTAAAGGTTAACAGGAGAAAATAGGTAGATCTTTGAAACGACATTGGCGGCAGGTTATTGTCTGATTTAATGTCTGCACGCAATATTTACAAACAAAAAGAGGGCGAAAAACCTTCAAAAGTTTTGTTGTTGAAAAAAAAATAGTTTAAATTGTAGAGAGTTTGTTAAATAAAAAAATTTAAATAATTTTCTTTAAATAGAGAAAAAAGTGTAATTTTTGTTGGGGAAAAAAATTACTTAATTATAAAGAATATATTGTAGTTTTAATTACTGTTATTAAGTTTTTATTAAAAAAAAAACAACATATGTTTTGGTTTATTTTCCTTGTAGGCTATTTATGTCCTTTGAAATCGATTAAGTTTTTAGAGCTAATTTAATTATGCTTAATTGTACAGTGAGTGTGTTTATTAAGGCACTTGTTTTTTTTTTGTGTTGGAATATTTGTGATACTTAACAAATGCTATGAAATATTTTAACCACAAAAACCTTAAGTTTAGACATAAAATACTTAATTACTTAGGGTCAATGTTCTATGGTTTCATGAGGCATTAATTAGATTTTGTTAAAGTACACTTAAGGAGACTGAACATGAAAAGTTGAGAAAAAATGTTTAAATAGAAGAAAATTTAGTTATGTAGATATACAGAGAGAGCTTTTGCAGTTGAAAATTAGCTTTTTCAAATCATTTGATTGTTTTTTTAACGGAAAATGTTTTAGAGCTTAAAGTTTTTATACAAACTTGTTTGAAGCTTTAAGTTTTCTTAAGCTTAAAGTAGCTAAATATAATATACTTTCAGATTTCTATCAAAAAGCTTTAGAAGCTTAAAGTTTTATACTATTAGTATTTAAAGTTTTCTATAGCATACTTTTTCGAATCATTTGATTGTTTTTTAAGGGAAAATGTTTTAGAGCTTAAAGTTTTTATACAAAATTGTTTGAAACTTTAAGTTTTATTAAGCTAATCTTAAAGCTTAAAGTAGCTAAATATAATATACTTTCAGATTTCTATCAAAAAGCTTTAGAAGCTTAAAGTTTTATACTATTAGTATTTAAAGTTGTTTTCTATAGCATACTTTTAAAAGCTTAAAGTTTTATGAATCTTCTAAAGCTTAAAATTTTCTTCACCATATCATTAAGGACTTTAAGTTTTCTTCAGCAGATCTCACGAAGCTTAAAGTTTTTCATATCAATACTTTACAAACTTAAAGTTTTCTTAAGCAAATCTTTAAAAGCTTAAAGTTTACTAAACAAAATTTTATACAACTAAAAATTTCTATAAAAAAAACGTCTATTGTTTAAAATTTTCTAAAGAAATTGTTGATTTATTTCTTTAACTGTAAGTTTTTCCAAATCCCCTCGTTCTATTCAAAATGAATCATCTTTTTTCCATTATAAATTTCCAATTAAATTAATTAGTTTATTTCTCTGAAATCAATTTACATAAATTTCCAATGACATTGAAATATTTCAACTTCAATTCTAAATTTAAATATTTTCCCCTTTTCTTTAAAAACTTCAAAATCTATTTCATTTTTTATTCTTTACAATTCAGAAATATGATATGTCTCACACTTAAAAAAATACTTACCCTAAGAAGGATGTGTTTATAATAAATGTTTAAGTAAATTAAAAAAAAAACTAAAATAAACTAAACTAGAAAATAATGTAATACAAAACTAAAATACATAAAACATTAACTATACAACAAACAACTGCGCCTTAAAAAAACACCAACTCCACAAAATCATTCTCATTATAATCATCATCACTGCAGTTTGTTAGTCGTTTGTCTTCGTCATTGCTATAGAAAGAAATTAAATATTTTCCAACACATTCATACATACATAGATACATACATATTGTGACATTTAAACATATGTTCATTTATAATTTGAAGTTTCATATTACCACGCTATATGTTCTGTTCTCCCTCCCTGTCTCTCTCTCTCGACGAAAAATTTGTTATAAACTAAATCACATTTTATAGTTTTAAGTTTTACATTCATTTTTAGATTATTTTATATTTCCTGTTTTTATGACTCCTTGTTAACTAATTTCCATTTTATTTTCTTTGTGTTTCTTTTTTTTTCCAGAGGGCATTGTTTCCTATAGTATACCAAAGGGTGTCCAACGTGGCATGGAAGTTGATTTATCGGATAAAACCTATGATGGCTATGAACAGGGCGACCGTTATATTGATGGTCTGGGACAATTGGTGGATGGTCAGAAGGGAAAAGATAATTTCCGCACCGATATTCATGGTTTTGGCAAAGGTGAGTAAGAAATTAATTTGGAAGCACTAAATAGAGTAATAGTTCTAGTTCTGTTGTAGTTCTGTTCTAGTTCTGTTGTAGTTATGTTCTAGTTTTGTTCTAGTTCTGTTCTAGTTCTGTTCTAGATCTGTTCTAGTTTTGTTCTAGTTCTGTTCTAGTTCTTTTCTAGTTATGTTCTAGTTCTGTTCTAGTTCTGTTCTAGTTCTGTTCTAGTTCTGTTCTAGTTCTGTTCTAGTTGTGTTCTAGTTCTGTTCTAGTTATGTTCTAGTTATGTTCTAGTTATGTTCTAGTTCTGTTCTAGTTCTGTTCTAGTTCTGTTCTAGTTCTGTTCTAGTTCTGTTCTAGTTCTGTTCTAGTTCTGTTCTAGTTCTGTTCTAGTTCTGTTCTAGTTCTGTTCTAGTTCTGTTCTAGTTCTGTTCTAGTTCTGTTCTAGTTCTGTTCTAGTTCTGTTCTAGTTCTGTTCTAGTTCTGTTCTAGTTCTGTTCTAGTTCTGTTCTAGTTCTGTTCTAGTTCTGTTCTAGTTCTGTTCTAGTTCTGTTCTAGTTCTGTTCTAGTTCTGTTCTAGTTCTGTTCTAGTTCTGTTCTAGTTCTGTTCTAGTTCTGTTCTAGTTCTGTTCTAGTTCTGTTCTAGTTCTGTTCTAGTTCTGTTCTAGTTCTGTTCTAGTTCTGTTCTAGTTCTGTTCTAGTTCTGTTTTAGTTCTGTTCTAATTCTGTTCTAGTTCTGTTCTAGTTCTGTTCTAGTTCTGTTCTATTTCTGTTCTAGTTCTGTTCTAGTTCTGTTTTAGTTCTGTTTTAGTTCTGTTCTAGTTCTGTTCTAGTTCTGTTCTAGTTCTGTTCTAGTTCTGTTCTAGTTCTGTTTTAGTTCTGTTTTAGTTCTGTTTTGGTTCTGTTTTAGTTCTGTTTTAGTTCTGTTCTAATTCTGTTCTAGTTCTGTTCTAGTTCTGTTCTAGTTCTGTTCTAGTTCTGTTCTAGTTCTGTTCTAGTTCTGTTCTAGTTCTGTTCTAGTTCTGTTCTAGTTCTGTTCTAGTTCTGTTCTAGTTCTGTTCTAGTTCTGTTCTAGTTCTGTTCTAGTTCTGTTCTAGTTCTGTTCTAGTTCTGTTCTAGTTCTGTTCTAGTTCTGTTCTAGTTCTGTTCTAGTTCTGTTCTAGTTCTGTTCTAGTTCTGTTCTAGTTCTGTTCTAGTTCTGTTCTAGTTCTGTTCTAGTTCTATTCTAGTTCTGTTCTAGTTCTGTTCTAGTTCTGTTCTAGTTCTGTTCTAGTTCTGTTCTAGTTCTGTTCTAGTTCTGTTCTAGTTTGTTCTTGTTCTGTTTTAATTCTGTCCTTTTCCTCAACAGACTAAATGTCCTTTTTGATTAATAACAACTGATTATATTCCAAAAAAATATTATGAAAAGTTTAAATATTATTTTCTTCTTGTTAATGTTCATAAAAATCTTTTAGAAAGAAAGAAAAGAAAACTTTTCTCTTAAAGGTTTATTTGCCTTAAAGCAGTGAAACATTACTTTCAAAGGATGTTTTGTAGCAAACTAACGAAAAAAAAGAAAACCATAAACTGACATCAATAATACATTAACAACTTTTTAGCTGTTAATGTTTTCCTGACTATAACTGTCTGTCCTTTTAAATAAAAAGAAAGCAAAAAAAAAAAATAAGTTATTAAAACTGAGAATTTTTATAGCTTTTCAAACAATTCAATACTATAAATAACAAGAAATTTACATTAACAACATTTTATTTGACAATATTCTTTGGCTACAGGAAAAAAAATAAACTTTCTAGCTAAAGCCGTCGTTAGACAGGGTTTGGTATTTGAGAGCTGACAGTCTGCTTGGCACAAAAAAGGGGGAAATTAAAAAAGTTTGTTTAAATGTCTGTGTTTGCGCTAGGACTTGGGTAAATAAATAATTTCCTCATCAATAAACACACTGGCAAAAAACGAAAATTATAAATATTTGCTAGTTGCAAAAAAAAAAAAAATATGAAAATGAAAATGAACAATAATAAATGAAGTTCAAACGCCAAAATAAAGAAAAAATTTGCCTGTTATTTAAACAAACACACAAATACTTAAAAGTACATATAATAAAAATTCTATACGAAAATATTTTACATACTTTTCAAACCAATATGATAATTTATGGCAACACTGGCATTCAATTCATGATTATTTTGAAAATTTTCATTCCTTTAACCAGTATAGACAAACTTCCGCCAGTTTAAGTTTTTTTTTTTTTTTGCATTTTTAAATAACACAGTATAACAAGGAAGCTAGCTATGACTGTGTATTATAACAAAAAGGGGGAGAAGCCTTGATGGTTAGGGATTTCATAAGGAAGCCAGCAGCAAAAAGAAAAAACTTTAAGAACTTCATCGATTTCATTTGGCATTGTGCCAATAATCAAAAATTATTGTAAACTTTACATTTTAAGTAGAAAAGTTTTTTTTATATACATTTCTACTGCTGTCTCTGAGTCTTATACATTCCGTACTGCTTTTTATTATTGTACAATAAACGGCAAAGTTTTGTGAATGCTTGCAAATAAACACTGGTTAGTTTGGATAAATATATGTATATTTCAAGACTGACTATATAGTTAAATTAGTCTCTGTCTTTAACTATAGCTGTCTGTGTATGTCTGGACATTAACATAAAACGGTAATGTACAACCTTGAACTAACCAGATAAAGTTGGAGACGTAGACAATATAAATTAGAGCTGGTTTTTTGGATATTAAGTAGATAGAGAAAATTGCCAAGTACTTGGTGTTTAGTTTAGTCATAAAGCAGATTAGATGAGAAGTTTTCATAAGATTAGAACATAAAAACAGGAAAATATTTTTACAGGAAACAACAATAACTAAAGATTTATACATTACTTACTCATTATTTACCTTATGTAAAGAAAACAATTTTTAGAAATATTCTTTAGCTTCTATCTGATACCAAAATATTTCATAATTTTTATAGTTTTCTATTAATTTACCAAAATATTTCATAATTTTTATAGTTTTCTATTAATTTACCTATTGTTTACATGATGTAAAATATCTAAAAAATTTTTATGTTATATATTTTATTTTAACAATGTCTTAAAAGTCTTAAAAATTTAAAATTTACATGATTTCCCTATTATTTACATAGTGTAAAATATGTAAATTTTAATAAATCTTCCCTAACTTTGATTAAATAACAGAAAATTATAAAATTTAACACATTTTGTTATTATTTACCCATTGTTTACATGATGTTTAGTTATTTTCCTATTATTTATCTATTGTTTACATAGTGTAAAATATGTAAATTTTAATAAAACTTCCTTAACTTTTATTAAATAACAGAAAATTATAAAATTTAAACATATTTGTTATTATTTACCCATTGTTTACATGATGTATAGTTATTTACCTTATGTTTACCTAGCGTAAAATATCAAAATTTATTTTCCAAAAAAATTTGCCTTCAAATAGTAATTTAAATTTTAAAAAAGTAAAAATTTACACAAATTTGACATTCTTTACCCATTGTTTACATTATGTAAAATTTGAAAAAATATTTACAAAATAAAGTTTTAACTTAAAGTTATTATTAAACCTTAAAAAAGTAAAAATTTACACAATTTTGTCATTATTTACTCAATGTTTACACAATGTAAAATATTAAAACTTTTTAAAACTTTAAGATTTTAAAAGTAAAATTTGAAAATTTTTGAAATTTATACTATTTTATAGTGATTTACCTATTGTTTACATGATGTAAAATAACAACATTTCTCTACTTACCTCTTTTTAGCCTTATTTACCTATTGTTTACACGATGTAAAATATTAAAATATTTTCCATTTTAGAAGATTTTTCATATAAAACCTCCAATAAAAATATTAAAAAATGCTTTTTTACGTGATTTTTACATTAGGTAAAGAAGTGAACAGTTGTTTACCTAATGTAAACAATATGTTGAAGAGATTTACTTAAAAAAATTTAATTTAGCGATCAAACAAAATAATTTTTTTATTTGCGAGAATTTTTGCATTATTTACACATTGTTTACATTATACGCATATTGTTTACATAATGTCGAATATGTAAAATTTTTGAAAAATTTAAGTTTTTGTAATATTTACTTATATAGAGTTTATAACAAGCTATTTGAAATTTTTTACCTTAAGTGTCACTTGTTTACATCATGTCAAAAATGTAAACAATTTAAATTTTTCATTATTTACCCTTAATTTACCCAATGTATATTATTTTTTGCTACTAAAATTTTTGCCAGTTTATTAATTGTAGTAATAAGTTGTAATGTAAACTTTGAAAGACTATTCACTTTGTTTACATGATGTAAATTATCACTTATATTATATATATTGTAAAGTATTTTAGTAAATTTTTATATTTTGTTTATAAACAATTAAATTGGCAACATTTTTCATTATTTACCATTTGTTTACATTATGTAAAATACTGTAAAATTGCCTTAAACCTGTTGACCTCGTGTAAACAATTAAATATGTCCTTTATTTTAGACATTTTTGAAAAATTTCTTTACGTTTATTGCGCAAAAAAATAATTTTAAACTTTTCACATTGTTTACATTATGTCAACAATGTATAACTCACGTCGAACTCATGTAAACAATTAAGTGTTTCAACTATTTTTAGATATTTTTCAAAATTTTCTTTAAGCGGATAAATTTTATTTTTTTTTTCATTGTTTACACATATGTCAAGAATGTATAACGTGTCGAACTCATGTAAACAATTAAATATGTCTTTTATTTTGGACATTTTTGAAAATTTTCTTTATGCTTATTACACAAGCAATTCATTTTGAATTTTCTACATTGTTTACATTATGTCAACAATGTATAATTCATGTTTAACTCATGTAAACAATTAAATGTTTCTATTATTTTTAGATATTTTTCAAAATTTTCTTTAAGTTTAGTATATAAAAGAACAAATTTAATTTTTTTTCATAATTTACACTATGTCAATAATGTATAACATTGTCGAACTCATGTAAACAATTAAATATGTCCTATATTTTAGATATTTTTGACAATTTTCTAAAAGTTTAGTGTGTAAACAATTAAATTTAAACTTTTTACATTGTTTACATTATGTCCACAATGTATAAAACTTAGTATAATGTTGAACTTATGTCAACAATTAAATTTGTTTGCTATTTTAAATATTTTTGAAAATTTTCTTTAAGTTTAGTATATAAACAAAGGAGTTTTAATTTTTTACATTGTTTACACTATGTCAACAATGTATAAAACTTGTTAAGATAACTGGTTTTTGTTATTTTTTAATTGTTTAAAATTTTTCCACATTTTTAATAATTTTCTTTAAGTTTAGTGTGTATGTCAACAATGTACAAAACATGTTATAATTTTGAACTCATGTAAACAATTAAATATGTGAGGTATTTTAGATATATCTTAGCATGTTCTTTAAGTTTACTGTATAAACAAATAAATTTTAATTTTTTACATAGTTTACATTATGTCAACAATGTAAAAAACTAGTTTAAATAACTAGTTTTTGTATTTTTTAATGGCTTTTTAGGTAAACAATTCAGTTACTCTATAATTCTAAAATTTACTTCATGTAAACAATGAATATTATGGAAGTAAGACTTTCTAACTTTAATTTTAAAGAAAATTTCGTTACAATTTCTTTAATTAAAAGTATTTTATAGAGATTTTCTTGCATTTGTTTAACAAATTTATTAAACATTTTTATTTCTTTTAAAAATCTATTTTTAATACTTTTATTTATTTAAATCCCTCAACAAAATTCTTAAATTTGTTTAACAAATTTTCTCTCTAACTAACCTAACTTCCTGTTTTGTTTTATTGATTTATTTAAATTATTATTAAAGACTTGTAACAGAAATTTACGCAAATTGATTGCCACCCCTTTTTGTGCCCTAAAACAAACACAAACTAAACTCCCAGTTTAATTTATAACTTAATATTTCTATTTTTTTCGGTAAACATAAAACTTAAACCTCTCGTGCCTTTCACTAACTCTTTACTGCCACCGTACGTAGATACGTAACATTGAGTTTATTGGTTTGTTTCTTGTAATAATTTCTATGACCATGGTGTTTGGTTTTTATTCCCAACTAACAATAACAACAAATTAAGGTCCTTGTTTTCTAAAAAGCTTAAAGTATAGAAAATTCAAAAAGTATGTCTGTGCAAAAAAACGAAAAAAGGTTTAAATGTCGCGTTCATAAGGTAATAATTTTCAGTTGGCGCATTTAAATGTTTGTTTTTCTTCCTTACTCTTTCTGTTCATTTGGGGGGAGTGCTTGTTAAGTTAGAGCATTAACGACAAAAACTACGTAAAAACATAAATTTTCTTAAGGAAAATATGTTGTTGTTTTACACAATCTGTATGTAAACTGCTGCTACTAGTAACAGGATAAAAGGAAGTTTGTTGGTGTCTGAGTTCAACTTTGGTGCGTGTTTGAAATTACTTTTCATGAATATTATTGAATTTTTTTTTTATTATAAATAAATAACTTTACTTAAGGTTTTCCTTGTAGAATTCCTTTAGATTATTTATATTTATTAAATGTTTTTCTATTTAGTTTTTCTTGCTTAAATTTATAACCGAAATTAAAAATTTTATTGCACGAGAGGGGGGAAGGAGGGATTTATATAGAAGATATTTAGAAAATTTATGGCAAAATATTAATATTTATTTTTTTATTCATATTTCTAGGTTATGAATGGATTGGCTGGCGTAATGATACACCCGGTTTAATGGGTAAACCTGTTGAAATAGTATTCGAATTTGATACCGTAAGAAATTTTAGTGCCATTATATTGCATACGAATAATATGTTTACCAAGGATGTACAGGTAAGTGTCAAGAAAAAATAATAGTAATAATATTTACTTATAGTTTACTTCATGTAAAGTCTTTATGTATTTCCATATAAATAATTTGCTCTTAAAATAATAAGAATTTTAACTTTCTTATATAATTTACCTTTAGTTTACATCATGTAAACTATACAAATTTTTCCATTTTCCATTTTTTAATTTATCTATTTTTTACTTGCTGTAAACATGTTGTTTACAAGTTTAATGAAACTATCTAAAGTTTGTTCATTTGTTAAAGTTTTTACATTGTTTACATTATGTCATATATGTAACAGCTTTAACACTTAAACTTTTTTATATAATGACTATCTCTACTTCTTAAAAACTAAGATTTTTCATAAATTTTACCTTATTTACCTATTGTTTACAAGATGTAAACTATTCAATTTTAATAATTTTTTTATACGCTTTAATAAACAAAATAAATTCTTAAAATTTATTTAGGTTTTTATATTGTTTACCTATTGTTGACATTGTGTAAACTATGTAAAATTTTTCAAAAAGTCTATATTTGTCTATTTTGACACTTACTAAATGTTCAAAACTTTGATCTTGCCACATTTTTACCTTATTTACATATTGTTTACATTATTTATCTATTCTTTACATTATTTACCTATTGTTTACATGAAGTAAATTAAAACATTTTTTGGAAACATTTTGACTTTTTAACTCTTTAGTTTAAAAAAACTATTCTTTCATTATTTACTTTTGTTTACATAGTTTACCTGAGGTAAAAAATGATTTCTGTTTACAAAATATTTAAGTATTTATTGTATTGTGGATCCAATACATATTTAAGCTTTGTGGTAGTTATTTACCCATTGTTTACCCAGTGTAAAGAATATATTTTTTCAAAACTTTAAGGTTTCAATCAAATTCATTTCAAATTCTCTTTTTTAAACAAATTTTAATGATTTTTACCTCGTGTTTACCTCATATTTACATTATTTAGATATTTTTGACTTAAGATAAATAATTTCAAACATTGCCAAGTTTTGTTTACTTAAGTAAAATGTCAGAAAAGGTGTCAAAATCGGAATATCTTACAGTACTTTACTTTAGTTTACATTTAATTGTGAGTAAAGGAAAACAATTTCTATTTTTTTAAATAACAACACTTTTTATAATTTTATAAAGCTTTTGTAAAGCTTATATATGTAACTTTCATTTTACATTGTTTCCCTAATGTAAAGAATGTATATTTTACAATATTTTAAATAGTTTACACTTAATGGTTATTAAAAGTAAACAATTGTTATTTTGGGTTAAATACGCAAAATTTTTTGTAATTTTATCCAGTTATTGCAAATATGATCTTAGACTTTCATTTTACATTGTTTACCTAATGTAAATAATATATATTTTTTTACCTAGTTTACACTTAATTCTAATTAAAAGTAAACAATTGTTATTTATGGTTAAATATGAACAATTTTTATAATTTCATAAAGCTTTTGTAAAGTTTAGATATTAAGTTTACATTTTACATTGTCTACCTAATGTAAACAATGTATATTTCACAATAGTTTACCTAGTTTACATATAAATGCTATTAAACAAGCAAACAATTGTTATTTTGGGTTAAATATGAATAATTTTTTTAATTTCATAAAGTTTCTGTAAAGTTTGAATATTAAATTTGCGTTTTACATTCTTTACCTAATGTAAACAATGTATTTTCACAACAGTTTACCTAGTTTACACTTAAATGTTATTAAACAAGTAAACAATTGTTATTTTGGCTTAAATAAACTAAATTTTTAAAATTTCATCAAGTTTTTGTAAAATTTAGATATTGAGTTTCTATTTTTCATTATTTACCTAATGTAAACAATGTATATTTGACAATATTTTAGCTAGTTTACACTTAAATCTTATTAAACAAGTAAACAATTGTTATTTTCGGTTAAATAATCCAAACTTTTATGATTTTTTAAAGTTTTTCTAAAGTGTAGATATATAAAATTTACATTTTACATAGTGTGCCTAATGTAAACAATGTGTAAACATGTAATGTTTTCAGAAATATTAAAACATTTGCTACTTTTTGTTTAATGATTTTGACAAAAGATTTTATTAAGTTTAAAAACTAAAATTTACTTTTAAGTTATTTACATTATGTAAACAACATGTAAACAATGTCTAGTTTTTAACATTTTGCTAAGAAAACTTATTTTGCTGGTATTATAAACTACATTTAACAATATTATAACAATTTTTTAAAATTTTAAAACTTAGTTTCATTTTAATTTATTTACCTAATGTAAACAACATGTAAACAATGACATTTTTTTCACTCTTTGCCTTTATTTTATGTATATTTTTCTTGTTTTTTCTTTTAGGTTTTTGTCCATGCCAAAGTTTTCTTCAGCATAGGTGGTCGTCATTTCTCCGGCGAACCCGTCCATTTCTCTTATATGCCGGATACCATAATGGATCATGCCAGAGATGTTACCATTAAACTACATCATCGTGTGGGCAAATATTTGAAAATAAATTTATATTTTGCTGTCAAATGGATAATGCTGTCAGAAATATCATTTGTATCAGGTAAAAAAACGAAATCATTTTTTTTTGAGTGTAAAACAAAAAAATTGAAGGCAAAATCATTTTCAGCTTCATTTCACTTTCAAGTGTCAAACACTTGAAAATGCATTTTGCATACAATTTTTATTATATATTTTTTTTACAAAACTGAAATCATTGATTGTACTTGAATGCAATTTCATGATGCCCGACCATTGCAGGGCAGGGTAGAGTATATTTTCCAACATTTTGATTATCAACAATGGACAATGACATTTAAAATGCATTCATAATAGCCAGAGAGAGAGAGAGAGCGAAAACAGATATCAAATGGTTTTTTTTTTGTTCAAGGGGCAAGCAACAGGGAATGTGAAGGGAAATGAATGTAGAGTATAATAGTATACTGGGGAAATAAAAACAAGATATAGAAGAAGTCAATAAAAATGTCCATACAATTTATAATATAATACTGCTGCTGTTTTTATTACAATTCAATAGCCAAAGAAACTAACCCCTGTTATTGAAAGTTACTTGAAATACGAATGTTAATGCGTTTGTGTGTGTAGAAAAAAGTCATTTTTATTTATTGTTATATCATAGTATTTGTATTTGAAAGACTTGAATGCAGGACTCAAAATATTATAAATAAAGAAGAATACCTTTATGAATGAAAACTGCTGCTAGGGATGGGTTAGCAAACAATAGAAAACGTTTAAATTTTATATAGAAAATAAAGAAAGAAAGAAAGAAAGGAATTGTACATTAAACAAATATATTGATTCATATCTTTGCCATAATAATAACAACATAAATACATTCATACATTCCTACAGCTTCTGTAAAATCAAAGAGGTTGTGATAAAATTTTTAAATTCTGTTATCTTTAAACACCCCCCCCCCCCCAATCTTTAAGCCTCATGCCACCAAATCAGTTGCTAAACAAAATTCCTTTGAAGTTTTTTTTTTTTTGCTTTCTATATAAAGTTAAAGAAAAACTCTTTTTCCCCCCCAAAGAAAAACGTTTTATTGTTTATTTATCTATTAGCATTAAAGACAACCTTAAAAGCTGCTTATCTTGTTGTTTAACCTTTTCTTACTTACCGCCCCCTCTAACAAGCTTAAAATTTTGTCACAATTGTGAACGTTAAATTAACCCTTAAATCTTACCCTGACAACGAAACGGTCTATTGTTTTAAATTCTTTTTCTTTAGTTTTTTATTTAATATGCATTTATTGTAATTAAGGTATTTCCTCTTTTCAAAAACACTCATTCAATTCAACATAGGCGTTAAAGATTTCGTTATCGTGTTGCTTTTTGTATTAAGTACTTTTGCGAGAGCAGAAAACAACAACAACAAAACACACAATATGCGTGTGAAATTTCTTAAAAGGGAATTAACACGCACTCATTTGTTTTAATCAGAAAAAGAATTTAAAAATTTTTTATAATTAAAGCAAAATTTAAAGCAAAAAAAAATTTCAAATTGTTTAAAGCAACAATTCTTCATAGATACTTTTTGCAAAAAGTACTTTTTGTTATAGTTCTGTTCTAGTTGTCTTCTAGTTGTGCTCTAGTTTTGTACTAGTTCTGTTCTGTTCTAGTTGTGTTCTAGTTCTGTTCTAGTTGTGTTCTAGTTGTGTTCTAGTTGTGTTCTAGTTGTGTTCTAGTTGTGTTCTAGTTGTGTTCTAGTTCTGTTCTAGTTGTGTTCTAGTTGTGATCTAGTTCTGTTCTGTTCTGTTCTAGTTGTGTTCTAGTTGTGTTCTAGTTCTGTTCTAGTTCAGTTCTAGTTCAGTTCTAGTTCAGTTCTAGTTCAGTTCTAGTTCAGTTCTAGTTCAGTTCTAGTTCAGTTCTAGTTTAGTTCTAGTTCTGTTCTAGTTCTGTTCTAGTTCTGTTCTAGTTCTGTTCTAGTTCTGTTCTAGTTCTGTTCTAGTTCTGTTCTAGTTCTGTTCTAGTTCTGTTCTAGTTCTGTTCTAGTTCTGTTCTAGTTGTGTTCTAGTTGTGTTCTAGTTGTGTTCTAGTTGTGTTCTAGTTGTGTTCTAGTTGTGTTCTAGTTGTGTTCTAGTTGTGTTCTAGTTCTGTTCTAGTTCAGTTCTAGTTCAGTTCTAGTTCAGTTCTAGTTCTGTTCTAGTTCTGTTCTAGTTCTGTTCTAGTTCTGTTCTAGTTCTGTTCTAGTTCTGTTCTAGTTCTGTTCTAGTTCTGTTCTAGTTCTGTTCTAGTTCTGTTCTAGTTCTGTTCTAGTTCTGTTCTAGTTCTGTTCTAGTTCTGTTCTAGTTCTGTTCTAGTTCTGTTCTAGTTCTGTTCTAGTTCTGTTCTAGTTCTGTTCTAGTTCTGTTCTAGTTCTGTTCTAGTTCTGTTCTAGTTCTGTTCTAGTTCTGTTCTAGTTCTGTTCTAGTTCTGTTCTAGTTCTGTTCTAGTTCTGTTCTAGTTCTGTTCTAGTTCTGTTCTAGATCTGTTCTAGTTCTGTTCTAGTTCTGTTCTAGTTCTGTTCTAGTTCTGTTCTAGTTAGTTCTGTTCTAGTTCTGTTCTAGTTCTGTTCTAGTTCTGTTCTAGTTCTGTTCTAGTTCTGTTCTAGTTCTGTTCTAGTTCTGTTCTAGTTCTGTTCTAGTTCTGTTCTAGTTCTGTTCTAGTTCTGTTCTAGTTCTAGTTCTGTTCTAGTTCTGTTCTAGTTCTGTTCTAGTTCTGTTCTAGTTCTGTTCTAGTTCTGTTCTAGTTCTGTTCTAGTTTTTCTAGTTCTGTTCTAGTTCTGTTCTAGTTCTAGTTCTGTTCTAGTTCTGTTCTGGTTCTGTTGTAGTTCTGTTCTAGTTCTGTTCTAGTTCTGTTCTAGTTCTGTTCTAGTTCTGTTCTAGTTCTGTTTTAGTTCTGTTCTAGTTCTGTTCTAGTTCTGTTCTAGTTCTGTTCTAGTTCTGTTCTAGTTCTGTTCTAGTTCTGTTCTAGTTCTGTTCTAGTTCTGTTCTAGTTCTGTTCTAGTTCTGTTCTAGTTCTGTCTAGTTCTGTTCTAGTTCTGTTCTAGTTCTGTTCTAGTTCTGTTCTAGTTCTGCTGTTGTTCGTTCTAGTTCTGTTCTAGTTCTGTTCTAGTTCTGTTCTAGTTCTGTTCTAGTTCTGTTCTAGTTCTGTTCTAGTTCTGTTCTAGTTCTGTTTAGTTCTGTTCTAGTTCTGTTCTAGTTCTGTTCTAGTTCTGTTCTAGTTCTGTTCTAGTTCTAGTTCTGTTCTAGTTCTGTTCTAGTTCTGTTCTAGTTCTGTTCAAGTTCTGTTCTATTTCTGTTCTAGTTCTGTTCTAGTTCTGTTCTAGTTCTGTTCAAGTTCTGTTCTATTTCTGTTCAAGTTCTGTTCTATTTCTGTTCTAGTTCTGTTCTACTCTTGTTCTAGTTCTGTCCTTGAAGCATCCTTAATCTAGTCGCTTGTAGATCTCTTTGTCCCTTGATTTCTTTTCTCTGAAATTTGAGCTTTTCTTAGGCCTGTTCTTGCTAAACTTATTGATTTCCATGTCCCATTGTTTTTTTTTTTTATTCCATAGAAATCTGTGGTAAATCTTTTTACCTTTTTGTGTCATAATCTTTACAAAACATTTGAAAAGCTGGATTGCTTTTTGTTTTATTTTTCCTCTTTTTATCAAACACTTTTTGTGCTGTCAATTAAAGCTATGTTTATGTATGAGTGCTTTGTATAAAAACAAAAAGTTTTTGTTTAAATTTTTTTTTTAATTTTTTGAGAAAAATAAGGGATATAGAATATTTTTAAGGCCTGTATTTACGCACTATGTTTTGATTTATTTAGCTGGTAGGAATAAAAGGATTTAAACAGAAAAAAATATAAATAAATAAAATTCTAAGAATGAATTTTAAAACAAAAGCTTTAACAATATAAATATAAACACAGCTGTTGATAATTTTAATAATTAAAAGAATTTTTTTGCTTGTTTTAATGGTTAAAGAAATAAATTTGAAATTAAACTGAAAGGATATTTTTGTAGTTTAAAATGGTGGCAATTAGTTATGAAGGAAAGGAAGAATTTAGAAAATTTTTTTTAAATTTAAGATTTTTCTCTAGACTTAAAGTAATTTTTCTTTTTATTTAGTTATTTAAACAAATTTAATTTCATAGTATGTGTTTCTCTTGTCTCTTTTAGTACCAGCCGTGGGAAATTTCACAGACGAACAAGAACAACGTGGCGCCCTGTTGCCACAGGATACCCGTGAATATCCTTTACAAAGTAATGAATATCATCATAATAATAAAAATGGTGGTAAAATGCCAACAACAAATGTTAATGGCGAACGCAACTACAATAATGGACCGCAATGTAAGTGCATACTACTGTTTTATGCTAACAACAATGAAATCTGAAAGTTGCAAAGATATTTGATTTCAATTTATTTTATGTTTAAAAATTTTTTTAAATATTTTTTTTATTAAACATTTAAATCTGTATCTGTAATGTTTTGCTTTAAATTTTATTTCTTTTTTTTTCAGTAATCGCCCCCAAACCCATCGATCAAGAGCCCTCCGAAGAAAATTTCATTGGTGTTGTTATTGTGGTACTAACCACTATCATTATCTTATTGGTGGCCATTATCTTATTCATTGTATCGAGAACAAAACGAGCTCGTGGCAGTAATGTTTTGGATGCATTCCAATATAGTTTTAATCCCAATACATTGGGTGGCAATGTTGATAAACATCGTCCCAATGGCACAGGAATTAAAGTAAGTACAACAGCAATAAGTTTCTACTAAAGTACTAAATACAATTTCATAACCAACAACAACAACAACAACAAAAAGTACTTATAAATGATAAAAGTAATAAATAACAGATTCCAGTTACAATTGCAAAATATTCAGTAGTTAGAAAACAAACAGCTAAATATTTGAAAATTGTAAACAAAATCATAAAAAAGGTACTTAGTTGTAAGACATACAGACAGGATATAAACTACAGGATAATAATAAAGTATCCAAAGGCACAAAAAGGAAGCAAAGAGTAGATGATATAAAAAGAAACACAATTTGCCAGAAACACCAATTTTTTGTGGTATTTTAGAATTTAATAAAGTTTTGGGTTTCTATATCTAAATAATCGGTTTAAAACAAACTTATTAAGGGAACAGCAGGTGTTTTAAATAGTTTGAGTTTGAAATTTGGCCGTTAAGGTAGTTTAAGTCTATTGTAAACTATTCAGTAGATACACTTGAAATCCATCAGATTTAAATCTTCTACATAATAATACGGGGTAAATGATTATATATATTGATTTCTGAATTCATGTGTAATATCGGCAGATTTAATAAATGAAAATAATGTTGTTTCTTCATAGAAATAGCACGTCTGTCCTTCCGCTTAAAAAAAAATCTTGAAAAAAATTATATATCATAGGAAAACAATAAGGTTTTGTAATTATACATCGCCATATAAGGGAAATAAAGACATACATGGTTTTCTAGTTCCACATACATTATGATAAAACTCAGCAAACTTCAATATTATAGTTCAATATTAAACAAACCTGTCTGTCTTTCTCTAGAAAAAATCTTAACAAAAAAAGTTTTTAATATCTTTATAAGCCTTACTTGAAATCTATTATATTTTCATATTGGTCACCCTAATTTCAGATAATTGAGGTTATATATAGATTAAAAGATCTATGTGGAACGTTCCATGGTTTGCAAATCTAAAATCTGATAGTTGCAGACTAAACACCAACGTCCGTCTGTCTGTAAGAAAAATCTTATAAAAATTTAAATATAAAATTCAATTACAAACTTGACATTAACTAAATTTTGATATCTCATACTACTATTCGAACTAAAACGTATAACTGCTACTTTGTGAATCCTTATGTATACTTCCAAGACTTATAAAAGTTTAAAACTTTGGATCCTTATTACAAGATTACGTCTGTCCTTCTGTAAGAAAATGTAACAAAAGATAACAAAAAAACAAAAGCTTCTGGCGGGCATCCAAACCTAAGATAAATGAAAATCCCTTTAATCCTTAAAGCCTGGCACTTATATTATATAGGGTCTCGAAAGTTCAAAAAGAAGACATAATTGTTAAACGAATTTTCATAAATTTATCCACACACCAGACCATATTTGCTTTATTAATAATTTAACTAATTAAAAACTAAAATTGTTTTATTCTGTCTATTTTACCCCTTCATCCCAACTCTCCTAACACACTAATGACCATTTTGCGTAAAAAAATCCATTAAAAATAATTATTTTTCTTAAAACCGAAACAAAACCCTTCCTTTATACTTCTTTTCTTCATGAAATTGTTCACTTTTTTAATAATTAATTGTTTTATATTAAACAACAAAAATTCATTTTAACTCTTTCCTACAGGCCAGCGTTGATGATAATGATTCAATTGGTAAAAACAGTCTATACCATGAACCCTTTAATGTAAATATGTATACAAGTGGGGTAAATGGTTATGCGGCCGTTAATGATTTACAATGTAATATGACACCAGACTATACAGGTAAGTTTTCAGAAAAAAATTAAAAACCAAAAAGACAAAAAACTCCCCGCACAAAATTTGAAAAACCATAAATTATTTTTAACGAAAGTAATAGACACAAAAGTTTTTTTTATAAAGAAGCCTTAGAAAAGTATAATAACAACGCAGAAAAGTTAATATTAATAATATTTTTGGTTTCGTATTATTAAAACTTAAGTGATGACTAAACAGAAGTAGATTTTTAGTAAAAAATATTAACGCTTTGAGGGGGAAGAGCACTAGAACAGAACTAGAACAGAACTAGAATAGAACTAGAACAGAACTAGAACAGAACTAGAACTAGAACAGAACTAGAACAGAACTAGAACTAGAACAGAACTAGAACAGAACTAGAACAGAACTAGAACAGAACTAGAACAGAACTAGAACTAGAACTAGAACGGAACTAGAACGGAACTAGAACAGAACTAGAACAGAACTAGAACAGAACTAGAACAGAACTAGAACAGAACTACAACAGAACTACAACAGAACTACAACAGAACTAGAACAGAACTAGAACAGAACTAGAACAGAACTAGAACAGAACTAGAACAGAACTAGAACAGAACTAGAACAGAACTAGAACAGAACTAGAACAGAACTAGAACAGAACTAGAACAGAACTAGAACAGAACTAGAACAGAACTAGAACAGAACTAGAACAGAACTAGAACAGAACTAGAACAGAACTAGAACAGAACTAGAACAGAACTAGAACAGAACTAGAACAGAACTAGAACTAGAACAGAACTAGAACAGAACTAGAACAGAACTAGAACAGAACTAGAACTATAACAGAACTATAACAGAACTAGAATAGAACTAGAACAGAACTAGAACAGAACTAGAACAGAACTAGAACAGAACTAGAACAGAACAGAACTAGAACAGAACTAGAACAGAACTAGAACAGAACTAGAACAGAACTAGAACAGAACTAGAACAGAACTAGAACAGAACTAGAACAGAACTAGAACAGAACTAGAACAGAACTAGAACAGAACTAGAACAGAACTAGAACAGAACTAGAACAGAACAGAACTAGAACAGAACTAGAACAGAACAGAACTAGAACAGAACTAGAACAGAACTAGAACAGAACTAGAACAGAACAGAACTAGAACAGAACTAGAACAGAACTAGAACAGAACTAGAACAGAACTAGAACAGAACTAGAACAGAACTAGAACAGAACTATAACAGAACTAGAACAGAACTAGAACAGAACTAGAACAGAACTAGAACAGAACTAGAACAGAACTAAAACAGAACTAGAACTAGAACAGAACTAGAACAGAACTAGAACAGAACTAGAACAGAACTAGAACAGAACTAAAACAGAACTAAAACAGAACTAAAACAGAACTAAAACAGAACTAAAACAGAACTAAAACAGAACTAAAACAGAACTAAAACAGAACTAGAACAGAACTAAAACTAGAAAAGAATTAGAAAATAACTAAAACAAAACTTGAACAGAATTAGAACAGAACTAAATTGCAAAAGTACAGCATTCTTTAATAAAATTACTAAAATTGAATAAATTTAACCTTCCCTGTAAACTTCCTAAAATTCATGACTTTTACCCTTAATATATAGACGACCTCCTAGCGGGTTAATTACACCACATAACCCAATTTAATGGAATTCTATTACACATTTATATTTTTCACAATAACTAGTTTTTGTTTATTAATATTTCATCGTTTGCGTTTTTGTTTCTCTCTCGCAGACGTCCCTGAAGGCGGTTACGCTGTGCCACATATGCAAGATTATATGCCCACAAAAATGTCCAATTCAACGCCGGGCGGTTATGTTAATGTACGACGTACACCACCACCACCCTTGAGCAGTATATTCCCAAGGCCACCACAAGTGCCACCGCCGCCAATGGAAAAATATTATGCTACCACAGCGATATTTAAGCCCATCAAGGGCCACAGTGGCAGCAATACTATGAGTAGTAAAGCCAGCAGTAATCTAAGTAATGAACATAATTACGATGATAATATGGGTACAATGAATTCACAATCAACGGCACCCATGATAAATAATCCCTACAATACATCGACAATGGGTGGCGGGGGTGGTGGTAGTGGTGTCATGAATACTTCAAATAATAGTGATAATATGCAATTTCAAAGGGCTAGAACCTATAATTTCCGCAGTTATCCAGACAATCTTTAGTTTGAAGCACAACTACAACAACAGCAGCAGCAACAAACAACAAATACTACAACAATAAATAAATTGCAAGCAAAATGTAAAGAACAAAACTCTCTAAACAATCATTTTAGCCATAATTTAGCAGCAACAGCAACAAATAAAACAATTAGTAGTAATAATGGTGGTTTAATAACAAAAGATTTTAACAATCAACAACAGCAACAACAACCAACATTTTATAATAATAAAATCAATAAAACCAAAAGACTTAGTGTGTTAAGTACAACAATGCCTAAACAATATACACTGCAACAGCAACAACACTATCTAGCAAATAAACAACAGCAGCAACAACAACAACAAGCCCCCTATCTAACACAACAACATTGTCAGCAACAGGCGTTAATATTAAGAAGATCTCCTAAACCCCATTACAGTTTAACGCTAAACAACAAATATGCTTTTGCTCCCATAACACCCACCAACAACACAACCCCCTCAAGCACAAAATCAACAACAACAACAACATCTGCAATAACACGCAACAGTTTATCGCATAAAGATTTAAATATTTATGAATTCACTCATTTAAAAGAAGACTGTGATCTTGATCATAATGATGATTATTATTTACCATCATCTATAGAAATTTTGGGCATACAAAAATCATTGCAACATGTTGAAAATGATAATGATGTTGCAAATTTAAATGTTAAACTGGAGTGTAAAGACAATAGTGTCAATGATAATAACGCTGTTGTGATTGGTAATGTGAAAGATAAACCGAATGAAGAGGTGAAGGAGGCTGATAATGATGATGATGATAGTGATAATGTTGAAAATGTCGAGCTTGAAGTTGAATTAGATAATAAAAGTGTTAAAAGGCTAAGTGCTAATTTGAATGATTTAGAAATTACAAAAAATGCTACAAATAATTTATTAAAACAACAACAACAACATCATCAACAACAACAAACAAATAGGCTGTGGTATCATTGATGGAAACCAATGGATTTGAGGTGAGTTTTAAACAAAAAATGGAAAATTTTTTTAAAATTGAAATAATTTGAGGGAAGGAGGGACAGAGGGGTGAAACACTAAGAGATGTATATGTTTGTCCAAGAGCTCTCCCTGGCCAGGGGAAGAAAAATAGTGTGAACAAAATATAATTTTTTGGTACTTTTGTTAATAGTTCCTTTTGGTACTTTTGAAACTTCTAGATTTAGCAATGTCCGTCTGTCAGTGTTGTCATTAAAGTTCCCATTACTAAACGGACAGACGTATGGTTAAAATACTCAAAGAGAGAATTATGTTTGTTTGGTACTTTTTTCATAAAGTTCTATCAAAGATAAACACTGCGAAATAGTACTTTTTTGGTACTTTATATACAACATACTCTTTGATTAATGTCCAGCTGCTCATGGTCTTTTGGTTAAAATAATGATTGTATTCCCAAGGGGACTCATCTGAAACGTTAGTACCTTTTTAGTACTTTTTATACACCTGGATTTAGTAATATTCATTTGTACGTTTTAGGGTTAAAATGGCCATTACAAAGGACCTAGATAGATTGATGGTTGTACTACTTAAAGAGTGAACTAAACTGTTTGGTACTTTTATCTGATACTACTATTGTAGATAAACATTAGAAAAATAGTACTTTTTGGTACTTTTTATAGTAATTCTTATAAATTGTCCATCTGTCCAATTTGAAGGAATCAGGCGGAAAACAAAGGATTTCTGGTGCTTTTTGCCAATAATAACTTTTGGTACTTTTTATAACCCTTCTTATAAATGATGTCCATCTGTCCATGTTTATCTTATAGATGAGTGAAAGAATCATACAGAAAGCAAAAGTTTTGTGGTGCTTTTTAGCAAAAGTACCTTTTGGTACTTTTTATGCTCCTTGACGGACAGAAAGTCGATTGAAGGACTTAAAGGAAGAACTGAACTCGATTAGTACTTTTGTTAGAAACTTCTGTAGAGTATAAACATACAAAATTTTACTTTTTGGTACTTTACTTTATATATTTATTCGATATAGTATTTCCTTAAAAAAGTACCTTTTCAAAAAAGTACTTTTTTTCGTACTTAAAAAAGTACTTTTTTCGAACTTTTTGAAAAAACTTGAAAAAAATTGTTTTATAGCGAACTTTTCACATATTTTACTTGATTTTGATAAAAATTTAAGTTTTAGGAAAAGTACTTTTTTAGTACTTTTACCAAAAAGTAAAGTTTTTAAAAGAAATTTAGTTTTCCATTTATGGCAACACATGAGTGATTTCAGTACTTTACTTGATACTTTTTAATTTTTAACCAAATTTCCTTAAAAATGTACTTATTCGAAAAAGTACTTTTTTTCGTATTTTTGGAAAAAACTTGAAAAAAAATTGTTATATATCAAACTTTTAACATATTTTGCATAATTTCCTATAAAAAATATGATTTGTTAAAAAAGTACTCTTTTGGTACTTTCACCAAACACTGTTGTATACTTTTCATGTTAACATAAAAAGTACTTTTTTTAATACTTTTTGAAAAAATGATTTTTTCCGTATTTTAAACATTTTTCATGCTAGTTTTATAAATCTTAAAGTACTTTTTTAACTTAATTTTCCTTAAAAAAGTTTGCTTTTAAAAAAAGTATCAAAAAAGTACTTCTTTTACTTTTTTGGTACTTTTCATTTAAATGTTTTTTTCGCATTAGAATAAATTGTGTGCTTTTTTTATGAAGACATATGATTTATTTAAGTACTTTCCTATCCAATTTTTAACCAAATTTCCTTAACAAAGTACTTTTTCGAAAAAGTATTTTTTTGATACTTTTTAAAAAAATGTTTTTTTTTTCGTATTTTAAACATATTTCACGCTAGTTCTATAAATCTTAAAGTACTTTTTTAACTAAATTTTCCTTAGAAAAGAGCTTTTTCCAAAAAGTACTTTTTTGGTACTTTTTGAAAATATGTTTTTTTTAGCATTTTCAACATATTTAGCATAATTTCTATAAATTTGAAAGTAGTTTATTGACCAAATTTCCCTAAAAAAGTACTTTTCCAAAAAAAGTACTTTACTTTTCCAAAAAGTACTTTTTTTTGGTACTTTTTGAAAAATTTTTTATTTTTGTATTTTAAAACTATTTTGAACTATTTATACAAATATTAAGCAACTATATAAGTTTTTTTCTTCAAAGTACTTTTTTGTACTTAAAGTACTTTTTCGTTATTTTAGCCTTTTTTTGTAAAATTTTGATGTTGATTTTAATATGAAATATTTTTTTGTTTTCTTTTCTCTTACAGCGCTTTAAACTCTGCAATAAATGTAAAGAAAAACAAATTTTATCTACCAGGACTGGACATAAGCTTTGGTTTTTCTTTGCCACCTTAGAAGAAATCCCCTCCACCCTTTCAGTAAACTTTAACAAGAAACCTGAAGTACACAAATAACTTACTTAAGACGTAAAGAAAAATGGCTTCAGCAAAGGAAGAGGAGTTTTAAAAGGTGGTAAATCATAATAAAAAATTATAAAAAACACATTGAGAAAGAAATTTAAAGAAACCAACAACAAAAAAATTAACTAGAACACCGTATGCTTTACCTTAAAAACAAAAAAAAAACTAAAATATAACACTCTCAAACACACACACACACATAAAATTATAGGCTTCTTAAACAGCAAACCCTGGACCCCCTTAGAACCTTTTAACAAACTACACTGTAAGAAAAGAATATAAAGAAAAACTTTTTTATAACAAAGAAAAATGTAGTAAAACAAGCTGAATAAAAGAAAAGGCACCTATAATTTTATAAAACGAAAAAAACTAGTAGAACTATTTATGAAAAAAAAAGTACTAAAAAATAGAAAATTTGCCAACGAAAAAAGTAACACACAAACTAAAAGAAACAACAAAAAACAATTTAAGTTATAAACTAAAAAAAATTAAAAAAAAAACATACATATTTATTAAAGCCAAGCACATTATTTTCTATAATTTTGTAAATATTAAGGAAAACTGGTAGTAAGACTATAAATTACAAAAAAAAAACAAAGTATTTAAGCATAAAAAAAAGAAAATTTAAAAAACTTAAATAATTCATTATAAAAAAGAAATTGCAAAAAAAAAAAAAACAGTTTAAACCATGAAATTTTTCTCCACATTTTCATAAATTTTCTATAACTATTCAGCAAAATTTCAAAATTAAAAAAAAAAATGATTCTGAAAATTCCTCTTTTTATACTTTTATTATAAAAAACATCATTAATTAATAGAAAAATCTGCAAAAAGTAAGCATTTAGAATACATTATTAACGAATTTAATATAAACAAAAACAAAAAAAAAATATGTAAAAATTTAACTAATAAAATTCTTAAATATTAACAAGTTTATGTGATATAACAAGTTTTATTAATATTTTGTTGTTTGCCTATAATTTTCCTTTTTTTTCTTAACAAAAACAAAAGTCTTTACTACCCCTTTTTCTTAAAAAAAAACCACCAACACTGTGTAACAAAAACTACTTGAACTAAAAAACTTATTAAAACTGTGTGCTCTATGTAAATTTCCCTGTAAAATCCTGTAATATAAATTTATACTCTTGTGTTTGTGTAAAGTTTTCTCTGTAAAAAGAAATACAACTAAATTTAACTAAAGTTTAAAAGGAGTTTAGCAAATGTTAATAAAAGGTTTAATAAACCATAACCAACAGACATCAAAAGAGAAAGGGAGAGACAGGCATATAACCAGAGAGAGAGAGAGAGAGAGAAAACGCCCAAAAACGTTTCCAATTTCTAAACTTTTTCTTACAATAAACTATTAATTCAACATCCATACTTTTACCAAAAAAGTACTTTTTGAAAATAATACTATTTGAAAAAAACTTTAATTTTGCTTTAAAATTGAATAATGTAACTTTTTTTATGGATATTTTTCAAATTTCAAACAAATTTTCCGTAATCGTGTTTTTTCAAAAAAGTACTTTTTTGGTACTTTTTTAAAAAATGTACAAAAAACTTAAAATAATATACTTTTCTTGCTACTTTTTATTAATTTTTAAGCAATTTGTCTAAAAACATACGTTTTTTTTTTCAACATCATACTTTTACCAAAAAAAAGTACTTTTTAAAAATAGTACTATTTGAAAAAAACTTTAATTTTGCTTTCAAATTGAATAATGTAACTTTTTTATGGATATTTTTCAAATTTCAAATAAATTTTCCGTAATTGTGTTTTTTCAAAAAAGTACTTTTTTGGTACTTTTTTTTAAAAAAATTACAAAAAACTTTAAATAATATGTCCAACATACTTTTCTTCCTACTTTTTATTAATTTTTAAGCAATTTTTCCAAAAAGTACTTATTTTTGGTACTTTTTGAAAATAAATTTTAAAAACGGGTTATTTTGTATAAAACCTAAGGTTTTCTAAAAATTACTGCGAACATACATATGAGTTATTAAAGTACATTTTTCTTAACTTTTCTTTAAAATAAACTATTTATTCAACATTCATACTTTTACCAAAAAAGTACTTTTTAAAAATAGTATTATTTGAAAAAAAAAAAAAACTTTCATTTTGCTTTAAAATTTAATAATATGCCTTTTTTATGGACATTTTTCAAATTTCAAATAAATTTTCGGAAATCATGTTTTTTCAAAAAAGTACTTTTTTTGGTACTTTTTTAAAAAATTAACAAAAAACTTGAAATAATATGGAAGGGTTGAAAAAAACTTTAATTTTGCTTTTAAATTGAATAAAATAACTGTTTTATGGACATTTTTCAAATTACAAACAAATTTTCCGAAATCGTGTTTTTACAAAAAAGTACTTTTTTGGTACTTTTTTAAAAAAAATGTACAAAAAACTAGTAAAAATACGTTTCATTTACTTTCTCTGCTGCTTTTTGAATTTTTAACCAACTTTTTAATAAAACCATACTTTTTTAAAAAAGTACTTTTTTTTGGTACTTTTTGAAAATAAATTTTAAAAACGGGTTATTTTGTGCAAAAATTTGGCTTTTCTAAAAAGTACTGCGAACGCACATATAAATTATTTAAGTACTTTTTTGTGACTTATTAAATTTTTAGGCAAAAAACACCCCCTTTTTCAGAAAAGTACTTTTTTATAATCTCTTGTAAACAAATGTTATTTATTGAACATTCAACTTAGTTTCCCTGATTACTTATAAAAAAGTACTTTTTCGTTAATTTCACAACAAAAACTTTTAACAAAAGTTTCAAAAAAATAAATTTTTCAAAAAAGTACTTTTCTGGTACTTTTTGCAAAACAATGTTATTTATGGAAATTTAAACTCTCATACATAATATTTTTGCAAAAGTACTTTTTTAAAGTCGAACTTTTTATTAAATTATTTTTAGAACTAATTTGCCCCCTTTTCTCTCTTAAACTTGTCCAATTCTCTTCTTTTTTAATGGAAACCCTTAACTCCTTTACAAAACTTGCAACATTAACGGACCAAAAACCCAAAAAAACCCATTTAAAACAGAGTCGCCTGAATCTATTGAAAAAAAAATATATTATAAAGTTTGTAGAAAAAAATCCTTATGAAAAAATCTAACAAAAAAGTGTTTCAATCAATGATTTGTGATTAATTTGTTTTTTAAATAATATTTTATGTTTTTTTTTTTTACTTTAATTAATTTTAAATTTTTTCCCAAAACAAAAAAATATAAAATATTTTGTAAGTTTTTGTGTTAAGTATATAAAAAATAATAATACAACCATACATATGAAAGAGTAATTTATAACAAAAAAATCTAAAAAAAATAAATTTTAAAAAATATGTTCCTTTTTTAAGTTAAATATAAAATAAAGAAAAAATTAAGGAAAAGTTAAAAAAAATATTAAAATTGCAACAAAAAATATATATAAAAATAACAAAAATATAATTTTTTAAATACCAATAATTTTATAAATAAAAAAGAAAGTAGCAGGTAGTTTTTAAAGTACTTTTTTCGTATGATTTAGCTGAGAAGGTACTAAATCCACGGGAAGAGCAAAAAGGCAAGTTCATTATTTAAAATTTAAAATAGTTCTGTTCTAGTTCTGTTCTAGTTCTGTTCTAGTTCTGTTCTAGTTCTGTTCTAGTTCTGTTCTAGTTCTGTTCTAGTTCTGTTCTAGTTCTGTTCTAGTTCTGTTCTAGCTCTGTTCTAGTTCTGTTCTAGTTCTGTTCTAGATCTGTTCTAGTTCTGTTCTAGTTCTGTTCTAGTTCTGTTCTAGTTCTGTTCTAGTTCTGTTCTTGTTCTGTTCTAGTTCTGTTCTAGTTCTGTTCTAGCTTAGTTCTGTTCTAGTTCTTTTCTAGTTCAGTTCTGTTCTAGTTCAGTTCTGTTCTACTTCAGTTCTGTTCTGTTCTAGTTCAGTTCTGTTCTAGTTCTGTTCTATTTCTGTTCTAGATCTGTTCTAGTTTTGTTCTAGTTCTGTTCTAGTTCTGTTCTAGTTCTGTTCTAGTTCTGTTCTAGTTCTGTTCTAGTTCTGTTCTAGTTCTGTTCTAGTTCTGTTCTAGTTCTGTTGTAGTTCTGTTTTAGTTCTGTTCTAGTTCTAGTTCTGTTCTAGTTCTGTTCTAGTTCTGTTCTAGTTCTGTTCTAGTTCTGTTCTAGTTCTGTTCTAGTTTTCTAGTTCTGTTCTAATTCTGTTCTAATTCTGTTCTAGTTCTGTTCTAGTTCTGTTCTAGTTCTGTTCTAGTTCTGTTCTAGTTCTGTTCTAGTTCTGTTCTAGTTCTGTTCTAGTTCTGTTCTAGTTCTGTTCTAGTTCTGTTCTAGTTCTGTTCTAGTTCTGTTCTAGTTCTGTTCTAGTTCTGTTCTAGTTCTGTTCTAGTTCTGTTCTAGTTCTGTTCTAGTTCTGTTCTAGTTCTGTTCTAGTTCTGTTCTAGTTCTGTTCTAGATCTGTTCTAGTTCTGTTCTAGTTCTGTTCTAGTTCTGTTCTAGTTCTGTTCTAGTTCTGTTCTAGTTCTGTTCTAGTTCTGTTCTAGTTCTGTTCTAGTTCTGTTCTAGTTCTGTTCTAGTTCTGTTCTAGTTCTGTTCTAGTTCTGTTCTAGTTCTGTTCTAGTTCTGTTCTAGTTCTGTTCTATTTCTGTTCTATTTCTGTTCTAGTTCTGTTCTAGTTCTGTTCTAGTTCTGTTCTAGTTCTGTTCTAGTTCTGTTCTAGTTCTGTTCTAGTTCTGTTCTAGTTCTGTTCTAGTTCTGTTCTAGTTTGTTCTAGTTTTGTTCTAGATCTGTTTAGTTCTTTTCTATGATTTTTGGTACCTTTTATATTAAAACAATTATTAAAAACGCATACAAATGCAATACACTATATATCGTCTAAACAGCATTTATTAGCTTAAAAAGTAAAAAAAAAAAAACAAATTAAAAAAAAATACTTTAAACTAAAGTTTTTTTAAGTTTTTCCCACTTTTGAAAATATTTTTCGCTTATTTAGAAAACGGTTTTAAACTAAAACTTAGAAATCCTGTTCAAAACAAACTTGCTACCTCTGCTTAAAATCCCTAATTACCTTAATATTTCTTTTCTACTTTTTTGTATAAAAACCCGCTTTTTTTGCTATATAAAAAAATAAATAATAATTTTCAATTTCTAAAATAAAAACCCCCCTTAAACAAAACTGCGTGATCCTAAATGTATTTAACAAAAAAATTATAAAAAAGGAAAAGAAAAAAGAAAGAAAATTTTCTTAATTTTCTTCCTAACCCTACTCACAAGACTTGTATATATACATTAATTAATAGTTGATAATGAACAAAATATATTTAAAAAAAACTTTACAATTAAATTAAAAATAAATTTAGTTATTAAAAACAAAAATTTTGTAAAAAGTTAAATTAATACGAATAAAAAAAAATTAAATTAAGTCAAGACAAACAACCACCCTGTGTACACTGTAAAAAATTTTTATATATTAAACTAACAAAAAATAAAAAAA